GGACCGGCTGGGTCAGGCCTAGACTCGGGGCTCCCCCCACAGCCCGGGACACGAAGCCCTATAGGCCGGCGGGGGAGAGGGCAGGCACGCACAGGCATCAGTGCCGCTGAGACCCAGCCAACGCGTGGCACCGATGCCCTGGGAGCGGGGAGGTCATGCAGGGAGCCCAGCCCGTGCCCCCCGCCCCAGGGCTCACCCACGCGCTCAGGCTCGTCGGCCGCGGTGCCTGCGATCCCACTGCTCTCCAGGCCGAAGGCCGGGTCGGCCTTGCCCGTCACCTTGGCGGCCTCCCAGGCATCAGTGCCGCTGAGACCCAGCCAACGCGTGGCACCGATGCCCTGGGAGCGGGGAGGTCATGCAGGGAGCCCAGCCCGTGCCCCCCGCCCCAGGGCTCACCCACGCGCTCAGGCTCGTCGGCCGCGGTGCCTGCGATCCCACTGCTCTCCAGGCCGAAGGCCGGGTCGGCCTTGCCCGTCACCTTGGCGGCCTCCTCCACCTTGCGCACGTGGGCTTCCACCAGCGCTGTGGGCACCTCCTCCTTCATCCGCGAGAACTCCTCTGCGTGCACGTGGGACACGTTAGCCCTCGGATCCCCCCATGCCTGCCCCGGGGCAAGCCGGGTGCCCGGCTGCCTGCGTTCCATCCCAGCCTTGGGGGGGAGGTTGAGCAGGGGGGCCTGGGAGCTGGATGCCTGGGTTTTCTCAGATCTGGAGACTTAAGAGCGGGGAGAGCTGGGAGCCCTGACACCTGGGTTCTCTCCCAGCCCTGTGGGATATGGAGACTTAAAAAGGGGGGGGCAGATGCCTGGGTTCCCCCCACAGCAGGGCCTAGTGGTCACTGCTCAGCCACGTGCCTGGCTGGGGACCCCAGAGGCCCGTGGGGTCCTGCCCCCGCCCCCAGGCTGTGACCATTACCCAGAGCTGACTTGGCGGCGGCGGAGGCCACGCGGGGGTCGACCACAGAAGCCAGGAAGGCCACGGTGCTCATGACGGGGTTGCCCGACTGACTGAAGGGGATGGGCTGGTAGGCCAGAGGCCCGAGCGAGGCCTCCGAGTCCTCCAGGTAGGGGTCCTCGATGGGCAGGCGCAGGAAATGCAGGATGCACTCGTCCTGCGTCCGGCTGCCCACGTGCTCCGACACCTTGTTCCAGTCGTCCTTGTACATCTCCAGCGCCTGGTGGGGGGCGGGGGGGGGAAGGGGACATGTGTGTGCACAGGGGTGGGTGGTCCAGCCAGGGCAGGGGGGGCAGGCCGGGGGTCCAGGACCACCGTGCTTACCTCCAGCAGCAGCAATGTCTCCTGCTCTGTCCATTCCCGCGTGGCGCTGGCCGCAGCCTTGCTCTGCAGGGGTGGGAGAGGGGGCCTCATGGGGAGGGGCAGCAGGACAGATCCTGGTGGGGGGGTTTGGTGCAGTCTGGGACCCCAACCTTGGAGGGGATGTTCTTCTTGGTATACATGTCTGTGCGCAGCCCGAAGTTCTGCATGTCGGCCGGCTTCTCCTTGCCCTTTTCGGGGAAGCTCAGCAGCTGCTGCGAGGCCGTGGTTTGCTGCAGCAAGGGGGGCGTTGTGAGCTAGGGATCCAAGAGGCCGGACTCCTGGGTTCTCTCTGCCCCCACCCCCCCTCCCTGAGAGTCCGGCTGCCTCGAGGACCCCCTCCCCCCACCCTGGCCCCCTACCAGCTCCGGTTTCCCCTTCACCGTCTCCGTGACCAGGTCCTCGATTTCCTTGCCTTTGCGCCCCGTCTTCACGTCACCATCAGTCTGGCGGCCCTGGGGGGGGCATGAGACAGCAGGATGAGCCCTCATGTCCCCCTGGGGCGGGGAGGGTCCAGGGGTCCCCCCCACCCCCATCAGGGGAAGGGTTAGGGACCCAGGGGGCTGGACTCCTGGGTTCCTTGCCCTTCTTGCCTACCTGGGGGGTCTTGGGCTGCAGCGGCACCAGCCCTGAGGGGGTGTCAGCCAGGACGTGGAAGTGGGAGGTCGGTGGGGGGCCCATGGGCGTGGGGCGGCTCTCGGCATCCACCTGGTAGTTGATGAGGCCCCACTGCTCCAGGAAGGCGTGGACTCTGTGCACAGCCCCCGGTTAGACCAGCCCCAGTCAGACCCCCCCCACCCTCCAGCCCCCGCGACGAACCGCATGATGGCGCAGACGTCGCCAGCCAGGTTGCGGCGGCAGGCGGTGGAGGTGAGGTACTCCTGCGGGTTGAGCCGGTATGTGTCGATCATGAAGTTGCGGTAGGCCAGGTATCTGTGGAGGAGGTGGGGGGCCTGAGTGCCAAGGGCCAGCGGCCAGGACTGGAAAGGACCCAGGTGCCCAGGGCCCCCGGGCCCCCACTCCCTTGCTGGGCTGCACTTAGCTGCAGAGGGGACCCAGGAGTTTGACCCCCTGTTCCCCGCCCTGCATTTCTGGGTGATGCTGAACTGCAGAGGGAACCCAGGTATCTGGCCCCCGGGCCCCCACGCCCTCACTGGGCTGCATTTAGGTGCAGAGGGATCCCAGGTGTCCGGCCCCTGGGCCCCCCCCCCCTCACTGGGCTGCATGTAGGTGCAGAGGGAACCCAGGTATCTGGCCCCCGGGCCCCCACGCCCTCACTGGGCTGCATGTAGGTGCAGAGGGAACCCAGGTATCTGGCCCCCGGGCCCCCACGCCCTCACTGGGCTGCATGTAGGTGCAGAGGGAACCCAGGTATCTGGCCCCCGGGCCCCCACGCCCTCACTGGGCTGCATGTAGGTGCAGAGGGAACCCAGGTATCTGGCCCCCGGGCCCCCACGCCCTCACTGGGCTGCATGTAGGTGCAGAGGGAACCCAGGTATCTGGCCCCCGGGCCCCCACGCCCTCACTGGGCTGCATGTAGGTGCAGAGGGAACCCAGGTATCTGGCCCCCGGGCCCCCACGCCCTCACTGGGCTGCATGTAGGTGCAGAGGGAACCCAGGTATCTGGCCCCCGGGCCCCCACGCCCTCACTGGGCTGCATGTAGGTGCAGAGGGAACCCAGGTATCTGGCCCCCGGGCCCCCACGCCCTCACTGGGCTGCATGTAGGTGCAGAGGGAACCCAGGTATCTGGCCCCCGGGCCCCCACGCCCTCACTGGGCTGCATGTAGGTGCAGAGGGAACCCAGGTATCTGGCCCCCGGGCCCCCACGCCCTCACTGGGCTGCATGTAGGTGCAGAGGGAACCCAGGTATCTGGCCCCCGGGCCCCCACGCCCTCACTGGGCTGCATGTAGGTGCAGAGGGAACCCAGGTATCTGGCCCCCGGGCCCCCACGCCCTCACTGGGCTGCATGTAGGTGCAGAGGGAACCCAGGTATCTGGCCCCCGGGCCCCCACGCCCTCACTGGGCTGCATGTAGGTGCAGAGGGAACCCAGGTATCTGGCCCCCGGGCCCCCACGCCCTCACTGGGCTGCATGTAGGTGCAGAGGGAACCCAGGTGCCTGGCCCCTGGGCCCCAACCCCCTCACTGGGCTGTATTAGGTGCAGAGGGAACACAGGTGTCCAGCCCCTGGGCGCCCACCCCCTCACTGGGCTGCATTTAGGTGCAGAGGGAACCCAGGTGTCCGGCCCCTGGGCCCCCCCCCCCCTCCTGGGCTGTATTAGGTGCAGAGGGAACACAGGTGTCCAGCCCCTGGGCGCCCACCCCCTCACTGGGCTGCATTTAGGTGCAGAGGGAACCCAGGTGTCCGGCCCCTGGGCCCCCACACCTTCACTGGGCTGTATTTAGCAGAGAGAACCCAGAGTCCGGTTTCCTGCTCGGTCCTCCCCAGTTGTGTTCACCACTGGGCCATATGGGGATACTGAGAACCCAGGAGTCTGGCCCCATGGTCGTGCCTCCGCACCCCGCAGCTGTGTTCACATCTGGGCCCCACCAAGCTGCAGAGAGAACCCAGGCACCCGGGAGCCCCATAACCCCCCCACCGTCCCAGCATACTGGGGCAATTTCACTCAGCACCCCCCCACCGCGGTCCCGCCCCGCTGGGGTCTCACATCTCTGGGGTCTTGGATTTGTTCTTGCCGTTGAAGAACTCAGGCAGGGCGCGGCGCTCGATGGCGTGGACGCTGTGGGGAGCAGGGAGGGCATTAGTGGCAGGCAGGGGGCTGGGGGGCTGCGGGGTGGGGGCACATCGGTACCTGTTGTAGTCGAACCAGGCAGCGTAGCTGGGGATGATGATGTGGTGCGTCTGCTCCGTCACGTTGTCCTCGTGCAGCTCGGGGTTCTTGGCCTGGTCGCCCTTGTTCCCTGCGCCGCTCTCTTCCTCGTCCTGTCAACCACCACACTGGTGGGACTGGGCGCTGCATTCTGGCCCCCCCCTTGGAGGCCCCCTCCTACTCCCAACCCCCAAGCTCCCATGCAGCCCTAGAGCAGGGAGTACAGGCAGTAGCAGCAGCACCTGGCTAAGGAGGGCAGGACTAACTTCCTAAAGCCTGCCCCTGCCTCTCCCGGGCAGGGACTGGCCCCATGAGGGGAAAGCAGGCAGGGGGGCAGAGCTAGGGGACAGGGGAGCCCCCACCACCCTGCATGAGACAAGTGGGGTTATGAGGTCCACATTATTGCCTGCCTGGCCCCTCACCTTGCCTGCAGTCTCCATGCTCTCGTCTTCCTGCTCATCTGGAAGAGAAAAGGGGTCATGAGTAGGGGTCACAGTCCAGCCCATGGGGGGGGGCAGCATCAGGGGTGGCCCAGGCAGGAAAGGGGGGCCACGAGCAGCTCATACCAAGGTCCGTCATGGTGCCCCCCTTGACTGGCGCTGACTCTGAGTCCTTCTTGGTGTTCACTGGGCAGGGAAAGGAGCGTTACTGGGAGCCCTGGGACCGCCCTGGCCTGCAGCCAGCAGGGGCCAGGGGACATCTGTAGGCACACGGGGGACCCCCCCCGGACCTGTCTTGGGCAGCGTGACCTCCTCCACGTTGGGCACAGGCGATGGCTCATCCATGTCCTTGGTCAGATCCTCCTGCTCCTCCTCCCGGTGCCCGCGCTTCGACTTGGTGTAGGGAGTCGAGGGGCTGCGACGGGGGAGGTGCCGGGCTCCTGTCACCACCAGGGCTGGATGCACGCCCCCTCCCCTGCCAGCCCGGTACCGGGGCTGGGCCAAATCCGGAGACCCCGCTCCACCATCCTCACCCTTTTTTGGCGTTCTTCTTCTTGGCCTCAGGGGTAGGTGAGGGTGAGGGCGAGCGTTTCCGCTTCTTGTAGTTGCCACCTTTCTTGTCCCGCCGGTCTGAATCGGGGCTGTTCACCTGTGGGGGGAAACAGGTCACCAGCTGAGAGTAGTGGGCGGACTGGGCAGCAGCGGGCAGCCACGGACTCTCCCCACGGGCACAGAACCCAGGTGTCTGGGCTTCCAGACCCCCTGGCACTGCTCCCTTCTCCAAGTGGGGACAGATCCTGGGGGGCCTGGGTCCTGGCTGTCCCTGTCTGCTTTCCGGGAGAACCCAGGAGTCCTGGGTCCCGGCCGTCCCCTGCCCCTGCCCACCCTCCCCAGCCTGGGAAAGGAAGCCAGGAGTCCGGGAACCGTACCCGCCCGGGCGAAGCTGGTACCTCGTCGGTGAGGGTCTTGGCAGAGATCCTCTTGCGCCGCACCACGGGGCTCTTCTCGTCGCTCACCTCGTAATCCTCTTCGTTCATCCACTCGTTGAAGGTGTCGGTGTCCAGGATCCACTTGGCGTGGACCTGCCGGGGGGAGGTGGGCTCAGGGACTGCCTGGTGGGGGGGGGTGCAGACCCCTCCTCATCTGAGGGTCCCCGTTACCTTCCGGGGCTTCTCTGGGGTGGGCGCGTCTTCCACGGAGGCTTCAATCTCGCTGGCCGGGATCCAGGTGTCGTAGCTGGGGGGGCAGATGGGGAGTGGGGGGGCTGAGTGTCTGTGGCCAGCCC